TGTAATTTAGTACAGATATAGAGGATCTTAGACTAAGTATTTTTAGCATCTCAGTTTAACGTCAGAAGTCTTCTTACACCCTGAGGCCCGCCTGACGAAGCCGTTGCGGCCCGCCCTCCTCGGCGACATTTAATTTGACTGCTGTAACCAGCGTCGCAACCTTCATTCATTCGACGCTTTTGGTCGGCCGCCCTTAAAATCGAGAATCGCAGCCTGATTTCAATGGGGTCTTGAGATGAAAAGTGTCCGACAGGTAGCAATCTCGGTAATTGAAACGGACTTCGGACAGTCTCAACTCAGGACGAAGCTCTTGTTGTTTGATGTTCTTTAGGGTTGGTGACTCAGGTGTCTAGAAGCTAGCTCGGAATGATTGAGCAGATCATGTTGAGGTTTATGACGATGCAAGAGTTGAACTTTCCACGACTTTCAAACGTTTGCCAACGCAACTTCCTATATTTAGGCAAGGTACACCACCATCGCAGGTAGGTAGGTAGGTACCTTGGTTCAACGGCGTGCCTTCCTTTCGTTCGCTTTCAACCTGCATTTCCTAACATCTACAATTGACTTCAAGTAATTCGAGTTTGAGCATTACATCTGCACTTCCAGTCACAAACAATTTTCGCAACAGCTGTTGCACAAAATGAAGGCCCTGCCTACACTGCCCAAGTCTCCAGCATCAACTCCAGATACGTTGCTTGTGTGAGCATCCGGAGCCAGATCTTCCCAACTCCTCCAATCATCGGCCCGAAAAATTGAGATCATCAACTCAACGTCGACGCTGCTGGCAAATTCGATCTGAAAGATCACCTAGACACATTTTCGATCACTCCGTCAGTCGTGAACGCAACACCCAGAAAGGATGTTTGGGCCAGTATTTTGATCAGAAATCGCACAAATCTGGCGTATACTATCCCCGAAATCATGTGGTGACTGATTCACACTTTTTTCGACAGTCATCGAGTCATCCTTGAGGCAGTTGCTCATAGCCGCTTTGTGATGAAACATCGACAACGGCATTGTTAAAAACTTTTAAAGGAGATACAACCTTCGCGTCTTATGTTTCTTCCACTTCTCTGTATCTTCATCGTGCGGACTAAGGCTTAGTCAAACAAGAGTCACATCAGGCTGCACCTCGCTGCATGTTGGCTTCGCAATCACCTGCATGACCAAAATGTGAGCCATCGCCCCAAGACCGATGCGCTATCAGCCAACGGCGTCCATCATTTCAACCCCCTTGCTGCTTGTGCCTCTCTTGGCACATTTTCAGCTGCAATATTGCGTACAACGGTCACACTTCGAGCTTGATAGGCAATTGATCCGAGAGCCTGACCCCCTAAGCCCGGTCCGTTGCGCTGTCCAGCGAGAATCTGCCAATCGCCCTCTAATACTCCGAGCAAGCCCTGTGTTATCTTGAGCCGCAGCCATCGGTAGAGCGAATATCTAGCAACCTGCCCGACATGCCTGGCACAGTCCCCAACCATTCCCGAGGCAGACTATCTTCAGGCGGAAAGAAAAACGCCCAAGGCGATCTTGCGCGATACAGAACTGAGAAAACAAATAGCCCGTCACCAGAATCTAACCGTATTGCACAATCACCAATCATTTGGTTGCCACCATGAAGCACAACTCTATTGTCGCATACAAGGTGCGGCTAGAGGATGTACGAGAGCACCTTCGGGCCAAGTTCAATGACCAGACCATTGAGGTCGAGGTATGTAGATCGGGACACTGGGAGTGGCAGTGCTTTCGTGAACCAGAAGCTGACCCATGGTTCCAGCATATAGGAACCGAGTTTGTGTTCTATCTTCCAGTGACCTTGACTGAAGTGGGTTGTCTTGTTGCATTTATCTGTCTTATGATGTCTCTCCCGGCAGCTGACATCTAGAACAGGCTGAGAAAGACGAAATCTACGATCTAGCACCATAAAGATGCAAATGGCTACGATACATTCCTGATATATCTTTTCACAATACCCAATGTGAATCCCTGCACTTCTTCTAATTATCTACGCATATGAGCAATACTGAGTGTTCAGTTCGGGTTACATGAGGCATGTTGTTTGCGCCTTCGACTCAGCCACTTTGTATGTCAATACCCTACCTGGCCTCATACACATTTGTCTATCTCCACCATCTTCATTCACACCATCCACAAACATCACTGCCAACTTCCTTTGGAGCATAGTCAATACCAGGCATTCTTTATCAAATTTTGCCGTTGCATATGATCTAGGCTATGCGAATCTCGGATCCCTGTTCTGTGGAATTGGAATTCTCTTCATGGAAATAAAATAGCTGGTCCCGAGTAATCTACGAAACCTTCAGTCGCTAGCTCATTTATTAAATTGCCATATACTATCATGTCCTCCCAAAATAGTATCACTACTGTGGAGCTGTCCGAACAGGAACGTTACTTCGACAGCATATGCGATGCTTCTCACAACTACCCTCAAACTGCTCCCAGCAGCAGAAGGAGTACCAGAGCCCGGCAAGCAGTAGCTAGTACTTGGAATCGAGAAGCAGCTCGAGTCTTCCACCCAAGAACTGAAAATGCTTGTCTCAAGATCTTTGAAACGTGCGATTGCATGACTTCATGCAACTGTCAATCGCTCTCGGGTGATGTCAAGACCATGGAAGATCTAGTACTTCGCCTGCAGCCAAATAAGAAAGCCCCAAAGATGAGATATGTGTAAGTTTCCTGGTCTTAACTTGGACACGATCTAACTAATTCAGATCTCTCCAATCCAAATCTTCCAAAGATCAAGTCAGATGTCCAATTAAGATGTTCAAATACCTATGCACATATCAACAAATCCCCGCTTCGTTTCTAAGCTGCCTCTACTCTTTCCGGCGGTCGCACTCTGCTCAGGAATGGTGTAACCTTCCTCAGTTCAACAACGACAATACTCTACTTATACCTGAGGATGACATCCTCCCTCTCGACCGAATGGGTCTCTCAGGGCGCGAAATTAGGTATTCGTTTGTCTTGAGATCCGTTGAGAGCTCCACCTCCGTCCCAAACAGATCTTGGGGAGTCCGACAACTCGCAGTATATCATTCCTTTGACATCAAAAACGGGCAGTCATTTTGGGTAACCTGCAAGGGAAACTCACTGAACGAGGAGTTGTTCCAAGAAGCTTTGGCTGAGAATAAATGTCTTCAGTCAAGCGTTCTGGAATCAGTTCCACAGGCGTTCTCTTCTTCGCTTGAGGTTCTCACTATGCTGATTGACTGGTGCGATGATGATTGGAGATTCTACATCAACGAACTCTTTGATGAGATCAAACCACTTGTGGACAAAGCGAGAACGCCCGCCGTAAAAGATGAGTCGGCCCTTACCAAAGACGTGAAAATCATAACAGGGTTGGCCGATTCTCCCTCTAAAAGGCTCTCACATATGACGAGTCTCGAATCTGGGACAGCCCGCAGTCAAATCAACGAAAAAGAGGATCCGTGGGGTGATCTCAATGACCGAGTCAAAAGACTCGAGAGGCTCGAAGTTTTTACTTTTGACGAGCTACAGAAGCTACAACAAGGCTTGGAGACGATCCAGGAAGCGCTCCTGGTTCTCAAGCTAAATAACCAAGTCATCAGACAGATCCGAGAGCACTACCAGTGTCTTATGACTCAGTATCGGCTTCCCGCTCTGAAAGAGATTAAGAAGGGATGCGAGGGCTCGTTTCTACAATATTGTCGGCACTCTCGAAATATCGAGGCCAATATCGACGCTCATCAGGCGCAACTCAATGCGCTGCTATTGCTCGTCAAGGAGAGTAAAGAAATGGTAATTCTCTCTACGCACTGGGAGATTCAGGGCTGACTTCTGTAGTACAACACCATTCTCCAGTACAAAACCATTCAAATCAACAAGATCTACGCAGAGAACGCTCGTTTGTCGACTCGAAATATGGAGAATATCGCCAACAAGACCAAGCGAGAAACGAGCTCAATGCATATCATCACTTTTGTGACTCTGATTTTCCTCCCTGGAACATTCATGGCTGTACGTCACTGTGTCCTTAGACATCTTGCAATAACTAACTTTATTTGCAGTCTTTCTTTCAGAGCGGTATTCTTGAGTGGCCTCAAGTGAACGCAAAGGCGCCATGGAGACTGAATAAGGAGATATTTTCTCTATTTTTTGGCCTTTCCGCTACCATCACGATCGTCACCATTGTTGTTTGGATGCTCCTTCTTTTCATGCTGCGCAGGCCGCATAGCGAAAGAGTCAGACACGCATCTTGAAGTCACACAGCACAACCTATGGTGTCGATTTCATGTTATTTTCTACCATTTTATTCCTATTTGTACTTTGATAGACAATAGATTTCTCACACGAGTCATGATCTCGTGAACAAGATATATCTCAGCAATTATACGCAAAGCGGGACATGCCTGATGATGTCGATTCATGTCCATGTGTGGGATCATTTGTCAGGCTGCAGCCTGGTTCCCCGCGCCGATGTGCATGTCACACCATCTCCTGTACTCTCGTCCGCTTTCTTGTGAGCCTCTGCCATCTGGTCTCAAACAAGCCTCCTCATTATGAACTGTTTCCTCCGTATTCCATCTCAGCCACTTTCAAGCATAGATCCTTAGATTAGAGATCCAAATCATACGAGAAGGCAGACAAAGAGTGGCTTTGCTTTTTAAGGCATCTTCAACACAGCCTACCTCACGAGATAGTGGTGGGCATGATACAATGTTGCAGAGGAGAGCCTTGCTGCATATGCACACCCTTTCTAACCAATCTGGAAAGATGATGACCCGAATTGGCATCAATTGAAGGTGCCTTGTTGGAGAAGATCGCACATGCCTTTTATGCGAACCACTTTCCAGCGACCTTAAATATTTTAGCAGAAAACATGTCCACCGCTTACCTTCCATCATCACCACCAGATTTCGCCTCTTCTGCATATCTAAATTGTACACAATTGGACCAGAAAGATTGCTGTTCCCATTTTCACACGGGGCTCTTCCGGTCCTCGTTGGATAGCCGCCATGTCCAATCCCAGAAAGCGCCCGCGCGACGAGCGAAATGAGGAGTTCATACGATATGTTCGGCAAGAATCGCAACCGGGACTCGACGGAAACGACATTGTGACCAGGTTCGTGAGCCCTGCAGTTACGGCCAAATGGTGGAAGAAAAGTGGCCAGCGAAGATTATCTCGAGCCATCGATCGCAACATCCACGCTCTCCCCACGACGATTGAGAATGGTTACTTGAACATTTTCTCCATTTTGGTGTACATCAGTAGGACATACCTCATTAACAACTTCACTTCCAATGGTTATCAGGACCAGCAACTACCATTACTCAATGCGCGATGTTTCGGCGATGATCCTGCACTTGTCGACGACATGAATGAGTTTTGCGAGAATCAATGGATGTTCTGCCCTCTGATGTTCTCGAGACATACCCCCATGGATAAGCGATATATCGATCCTCGGCAAATATTACCTATCAAAACAACCTTCACGATAACAACTGATTCGAACCACTCCAAATCAATTATCAGAGTTGTGACCTTGTACCCTGAATGCTTCGATCGCGAATGGAGTCCAACTGTAAGTTCCCTCCTCCGCGTCTCCCATCCCATCTAACATGAGCAGGGTACTGTCGTCTTTAAAGAGTACCGCACACGAGAAAGAGAAACTTTGCGAGATGCATGGATCAAGGAATACAATGCATTCGCCGCGATCGAGTCTTGTGATTACATTGTTAGATATCTTGGTTCATTTGAACAGAATAACCGCTGTTTCATGATCCTAGAGCACGCGAGCGAAGGTAGCCTTCTCGAACTGTTCAAGCGCAACGAAAGACCAGTTACTGAGGAAGAGCGGCGGTATTTCTTATACGGCTTGATGGGTCTCACCAAAGCAATCGACAAGATACAAAACCTTGGAGGCGGCCCTAGGAATCAACGGACAGGATTGTAAGTGACACTTCCAGTTTTCTCATTGTTACTAATGTCGTAGTGCTCACCGTGATATCAAGCCTGCCAACATCTTGGTATTCCCTGGTCAAGATGGGCGGTACTCGTATGGCTTCCGAATGAAGCTTGCTGATTTTGACACTGCGACACCCAGTCGGCCAATAGATGAGGATGAGTCCAGTTTCCAGGATAATGACGGAAACAGGACATATTGTAACTGCCTTGTTCTCACAGTATTGGATTGCGTTAACAAGTTTGAACAGGTTCCCCCGAAGCAACCAGACTCTACAGGGATCAGGAGAAGGGTTTTATGCAGGTTCCAGTAGCCTCCGATGTCTGGTCTCTTGGTTGTGTCATCAGCGAAGCAATTGTCTGGGTTGCTGGCGGGACTGCTGCACTTGATGAAGCTGCCAGCGATCGCAGAAGGGAGATACTGACACATTGGCCACTTCTTGCCGATGGCAGCTTTGGCGAATGTTTCCATAACAGTTCCACGGCGCTTACTTGTGTTGTGAAATCACATTCAGCTGCGCTAGATGCGCTACAAGGTCCTATTTTCCTCTCAAGAAATGTCTGCAGCCTCGTCGAGCATTGGATGCTTGTGCCATATCGAGAAAGACAGTCCCCCATCCTTATCTGGAAAACCTTTGAGAGAAATTACCGGGAAATCTTTCACCCTGCTCCCCTCTTAGGTCATCATAGCCCGCCTCTCTTACCTCAACCCGGCTTCCACAACACCCCTATACTCACCCAGTCACCCATGAACATGACCGAGTCGTTATTTCAGCCAGACCGGTCTCCTTACCAGCGGACGCCCTCCCAACCGGGACCTTCGCGCCAGATCGGTACGGCCTTGGATCGCTCTGACATGCACCAGCGAGACTCCCTTGGGATTAATACTCGAATTTCTTCGAATAACGGAACTCCAATCGATCGCCACACATCAGCTCAATGGAGTCACAATGGTTTTCGGGCTCTATCTGAGCTGGAAGACAAATCGTCACCTGTGTCAGCGATATCTACCAATGAGCTCAACCTTGGAAACACGTTAGGCTCTCCAATGCATCCTAGCATCTCGTTTTCTGCTCAAGATAATCATTACCATCCGGTTCCCGACGCCAACAGCCCTGCCGAGACATCTGCCGACATTACGAGACTCACTCCGCAGAAACAGAATGAAGCGGGCATGTATGGGGAGCTCACTATCGACGATGTTGCCAGTCACCGTAAGAAAAATGGTAAAAGGGAATCATTGGAGGGCTACGAAAAGTTTCGCAATCGGATGGGAAATCGGCGGTTTGTCTTTATAATAGACGATTCTGAGACAATGCGTGATAGGGAGCGCGAGGTGATTAAAGTGTTGGGGGTTTTGGTATGGCTCGTTAGGAAGATCGATCATTCCGGTCCAGAAATCCGCTTCACTTCAAAACCAGACAAGAAATTCCCGATAGAACGTCGACCTCGGTTTCTTCTCAAGATGGAAAAATTTATCAACCCAGTGCGAGAATGGCTTGGTGGCAACGACGCTGAGACTCTCTGCAATATGAAGCACTCATTCAACCAGGTATTCGCAGATGCCAATATGGTGGATCCCAAACGACCGACAAGCGTTGTTATCTTGACCGATGGAATATGGGAGCACGGTGGTTCTCTTGAAGAGAAAGGTGTCGAAGCCTGCATAACGAAGATTATCAAGCGGATGGAAGATAAGGGTATTGGCGACACCGCTTTCGCCTTCCAGTTCGTGAGCTTTGGTAATGATCCAGTTGGTCTTCGGCGGCTGAAATATCTGGACGACGATGCCCTCTACGGAGGGGATGAGGATAACCGGACGTAAGTTCTGGTCACAGTTGGGAAGATCGAGGCTAACCTGGTCAGTGATATTGTCGACCACAAGAGCTCTGAATCAAATGTCTGGGCAATACTCACTGGGTCAGTGAGTCCAGGTAATGATAAGATCTCGGCGAGTCCATCAATTGAGAGGCCGTCGTATTCTCAGGGTGAATGAGCAATATTTATATGTTACGTCAGGTATTGACGATATTGGAGTTATATGATGAGCATTTACAGGGCGGAATTAGACTTGGTTTATATAAATACCCATATACTGCACCTTACTATTGGGATCTAGGATCAGTGTTATTGAGTTGGATTTATACAATGTTGTCGATACGATTGACGAAACAAGCTATACTTGGACAGTTCTAGCGCATTCCCCTGTTTCCCTTCCTGGCTTTTAGGCAGTCTGGGATTGGATGCTGCCATTAGCTCAGTGACTTCACTTGGTTGGCGGAGTGGAGTGTTACCCTATCTATGCCTTAGTTGATCAACACTTTTGGCGAAGAGACTGCATGTGTACAATGACGAAAAGAATGGTGAAAAGCGAGGCTAATCACTGGTATCTGATTTTGATGTTATAAAATAATTTTGGACATTAAACGGCTGCTATTTTGCTGATACTGATTCACATCAAGTTAGACAGCGGGAAGACGGTAACAGCACATTATTGTGTCCAAAAGAACAGGACCGAAAGTTCAAAATAATGCCACATACTAGATGGAGGGTCTTTCTAGAGAATATAGAGAGTACTGCCCTGAGTAAACATGTGTGAAAGAGTTCGTACACCACATTTGTGATAAAGTTAGACAAGCTGGTGAGTAAGCCTGTCTTGGCAGGACAAAACCTCGATGACTTCCACGAATCCCTATCGAATGGTACATAGGTAGACATAAACCATCAGTGAATACATACGAATTAAACAAAGGAACACTAAAGAGGGAGGAGTACAGGTGATTTTCGTGGATATTTGTGTGGAATACATATTTAACTACCCAGAGTCTGTCTGGGATAAGGAGTGGTGATGGCATGAATGGCCCACCGATTGCTAAACTAGTGGTATATAGCCTGTAAAGTTTCCGCTGATTAGTCGGCGAATTACTATAGGTGTGACCTCGAGCGTTGCTTTCTGTTTGATGTGATCTCGGAATCATCAGGCGGTTATGTTACAGTCAAGCCTTGTGTTCGGCAAGGCCCAGTCTTTGTCCCGAAGATAAACTCGTACAAACCAATGGTCAGCAGAGCTTCTCTAGTCAAGTTGATGTTTCTTGGGTATTCATTCAGAGATAGTCCGTTCTCAGTGTCGAGTTCTACTACTAAATGCTACATAAGAATGAACCTGACCTACACATCAGCACCTGGCCTCACAAGGGCTTGCTTATGTGGCATTGACCAAGCGATACAGTCCTAATTTATTGAATAAACTGCAGTTTTTCGTATTAAAGCCATGAAGTATTGTCAATTGAGCTCTGTCCACGCACATCTACAAGATATTTGATGTTGGCTCATATAGAATAGGCACTGCGGATTGGATAGGCTCGTTTCATACACAGCATCACGAAGCTCTTAACAGTCATCACGGTAACTCAGAAAATACCGGAAATATAAATTACTTGGAACCAAGTAAATATACAATTATTACTTCAGCTTACAGCAGTTGGAAGACGGGACCAGCCAAGACGTTTCATCCTCTGACCTTATCCGGGGACGGGCGCTAAACCCCAAAAGACCCAAGCGCCAACCGCTAAGGCAAGCTACCTTTGATCACCTCCCCTCCACTCCAACTTTCCAACCCTCCATCATCACCAACTCCAACACCACCACCAAGAATCCTCACATCATGGCCTCCTACATCGACACCTCTCTCGCCGAGGCCCAGCCCGCCCCCGAACTCCTCGGCGAAGTCAAGAAGCCCAAGAAGAAAAAGGTGCTGCTCATGGGAAAGTCCGGCTCCGGCAAGTCAAGCATGAGGAGTATTATCTTTAGCAACTACATTGCCCGCGATACACGCAGACTGTGAGTCCCCCTCCTGCCTCGCTTGGTCTTGGGGTTAGGCTGATAAGCTAGGGGCGCAACTATCGATATCGATCTTTCGCACGTCAAGTTCCTCGGAAACCTCACCCTCAACCTCTGGGACTGCGGTGGTCAAGAGGCCTTTATGGAGAACTATCTCTCCCAGCAGCGCGTCCACGTCTTTTCCAATGTTGGTGTGCTGATTTACGTCTTCGACATTGAATCCCGCGACGTCGACCGCGATCTCGCAACCTACGTCTCCATCCTCTCCGCGCTCCTGCAATACTCGCCAGCCGCCAAGATCTACATCCTCATTCACAAGATGGATCTCGTCGTTCCTACGGCACGTGAGTCCGTTTACGATGAGCGCATTCGGGTTGTGCGACAGAAAACCTTTGAGTATGCGAATTCAGTCGGTATTGCTGCGTCGTCGATTGAGCTCACGCCGTTTGCGACGTCGATTTGGGATCAGAGCTTGTACAAAGCTTGGGCGTCGATTATTCACGACCTTGTGCCCAATCTTTCCGTCATTGAGCGAAATCTCGCAAACCTGGGTCTCGCCATCGAAGCCGAAGAGTTGCTGCTATTCGAGCGCACATCTTTCCTTGCCGTATCGTCCTGGACATCATCTGAAGGACAACGAAACCCGACTGAGGATCGACTAGAACGCATGTCCAACATCATGAAGCATTTCAAGCAGAGTATTTCGCGCTTCACGGGTACGCCGCGCAACGCCGAGCAGTTCATTCGCATGGAGCACAAGGCCGGCAATCGATTCAGTCTGTTTATTCTCAAGTTCACGACAAACACGTATCTCATGGTTGTTCTCCCACCCGGAGAAGCTCGGTTCAACGCTGCCATGCTCAATTGTCAGATCGCCATTGAGCACTTCAGATTTCTGGATGGCCCCGCAACTCCAGCTCCCAACACCGCCAATGCTGCCGCCTGAACTAACAAGACCACATAGATCGGAGTTATCACGGAGCATGGCTTGTTATTTGGCGTTAGGTGTTGAGATACCACTCTAGGTGATATTTTGTGTATCAGTTACATACATACATATATGCATACATGGCTCATTTACAATTCATTTCGCATTTCGCATTTTAGCTATCTGTGATTCTATCCATGACCTCTATAAGTCAAGCTAGCATCTGCATTTGTTGACCAGTCCGTAAATCAACCTCAACGCCGATTTTCCATTTCTAAGTCCACTTGACAACAGCGGTACCACCCTTCTTGAATTCGGGCATTTCACCAAGAACCAGGCTGCGGTCGGTATGATCCTTGTTGGGGAACGTTGTGGAAAGAACCCATGATCGAGATCGTGTGTCTGGCGACGCTCCCTGTACGAAACCGTAGACATCGTTGACAGTGTGGGTGGTATTGAAACGAGCGGGGAGACGTGTACCATCAGGCATCTGGATTCGGATCATGATTGTGGGCTGAGCATCATCGACAGGAGGAGCATTGGATGACGAGGGAGTGGCGGAAGAAGCAGCAGGGGCGGGAGTAGAGCTTGAGCCCTCAACACCAGGAACAACAGCTCCAAGTCGCTGACCAGAGCCACCGAAAGGTCTGTACTTCTTGGGCTGTGGCTGGTATGGTGTATCGTGCTGGTGAAGCTTGACATCGATGGGCTGGTCATGCTGCACATTCATAAGGTGGAGGGGTGCGCGACCAGATCGAATCAGGGCGAGGTCGGCCTGGTTTGCGGGATCGTCAAATCGGCGAAGGTCACCGTCGTCAATGCTGAAACCATCTTGCCAGATGTGAAGAACTCGTTCTTGGGGTTCGGCGTTTGAAGAGCGAGCTGGGCCAAGAGGATCAGGAATACTGCGGCTCTCGACACCGTCTCCGCCAAGTGTCTGTCCAGTTCCTCGAAAGCGACTGGGCTCAGAAGGGCCAGCCTCGTTCTCGGCTTCGGGGCGTTGAGCGTTACTATTTTGTCAGCTAAATTCACCTTCGAATGCTCAGTGACTTACGCTCGTGCCTTGGCGAGAATGTCACTGATGATCTTCTTGGGGCCGCCCTCCTGATGCGGATCTTGAACAGCCAAACCAGACTTCTCACCACCGGCAAACAGGTTTCCTCGTCCATCATCGTCATCGCCGTCGAAGTCATCATCATCGTCATCACCGTCATCGTGTTGGTGGGATGAGCTACCGAGAGATCCTAGAGTAGCAATACCCCTCTTCCTCTGTTGTGATGCGGCAGGTTTGCGAGTCGGTTGGCTGCTGCGGGCAGCCTCTGGAGCGGGTCGCCCGTCGAGGGTTCGAGGGCCCGTGTAATTGTCAGGAGCGGCAGCGGGAGCGGGAGCTGTGGATGTGTCGCGGTTGTCATCTTCGGCATCACGGAACCAAGCGTTGCTGGCCTCGGCGAGATCCCAGTTATGGGCTTCAAGATACTGTCTGGCCTTGGGCGCGTTAGCTGAAATACTCGGTGCGAGTCAGAGAGTCGCGAACCTCTTCAGGGCTTGCACCGCTCAGGCCTGCAAATTCCACGATCTGGGCTTCGTGGTCTGCCATGTTGACGATTGAGGCGGGGTAGTAGAGGTGTGTGTTGATCAAGTTTTCAGATGTCGCAGATTTATAAGAAGCGTTGGTAGATTGGGAGGTGATTGGGTCAAGATAAAAAGACACGCCAATCTCAAAGTGTGTTTGTTGATGAATGAAGGTTTCAGCAACAGGCAGGCAGCTTGCTCGTCACCTCTAAGCAAAGGAAGCTCTGGGTTGGTGGCGGTGGGCTCCTTCACCCCACCTTCCTCGACTGGGCCATGACACAAGTGGGGACCCACTCACCGGGCAATTCAACCTACGGAAGCCAGGTCCATCTCTGCCCCGGTCCTGCAGCCTTACGTAAGGATCTGGGGGAATCAAGCGCGACGGTCCAGAAGCCGAGATCGTCAACAACCTCTTCAGAAGCTAGCTCAGGCCGACGACGACCAACAATCGAGCTTCAAACCATTTACTCCTTTGGCTTCATCCGAACGAGAGCCCACATCTCGACGCCTGCCATGTCCGACGAACACAACCACCTCGCCGAGTCCGGCGTGACATTGCACTCCGACAGCGAGCTATACTCTGCAGGCGATGATCTCTCTTCACCTCCCTCGTCAAACTCACCCGTCATTCTCTACAAGCCCCCTACAGTGTGGTCTTTGATACGGGGAGCTGCCATCAACCTCCTGCTACCTTTTGTCAACGGCATGATGCTTGGATTTGGAGAGCTCTTCGCTCATGAAGCTGCCTTCAGGCTGGGATGGGGAGGTACAAAGGTATGCCATTTTGCACAATTATGCTCAAAGCTATCAACCCTTACTAACAAACCCAGGTCTTCCCCCTCTCACGAAGAAGAGTTCATCCCATTGGACCTGGTATCGAGCTTCGAG